TGGCACACCATGGTTCACCTAGCTAACAGGGTGCTTATAAGAGGTGCTAGCCCCGTGTGATGGCCAATGCACGTGGAATAAAGGGATGGTTATTCGTGAGCATCATACTCATGTTTGTTTCATGCCTTCGGTTGCGTTTGGTTAGCATTATCCTCATGGACTGTGTGTCCACATTTGTTTCGTGGTTTCAGCCACGTTTGGTTACTTACCCTTGTGTACTGTGTGTCCACGTTTGTTTTTGTGGCATAAGTCGCATTTGGTTATTTACTCTCGTGGACTGTGTGTCAACGTTTGTTAATTGTTTTAATAAGTCCTTGTAATTATGAATCCAATTATTTGATGATTTTATATATAAGTCGCATTTTAGTAATTTATTTATAAATATTTATTTCATTTATGTGCTTTCTTGAAATCAAGTGACATTTTTATTTACTATGATAGTTCAATGATTTGAGAGTTTATTTGAAATTTTATTGAGCCATTTTATTATGAAGTTTATTAAATTTTTTTTTATAAAAATTGTTTGTCTCTCAATTTATGAAATTATTTCAAACTTTTCTTTTTATTCATATTCTATTATTTATTGTTGGGACGTGATTCACTGAAAATTATTATTTTGATCTTAGATACGTTAGCTAATGTTGTGTCTTTCGCTAATCTTTGAGGGGCGGTAATATTCAGATGAGATGAAAAGCTGAAATCAAACTTCTTTAAAGTAAATTTATTATGTCAGGTGCTCCACATAAACTATAGTTAGGGTCCTCATCCTTATGATTTATACTTTGATATTTACTGATTGGAAGAAAATTCCTTGCTGCTACTACTGTTTTGTAAAATATTAAATCTTTTGTTTGTATGATTTGTATTAAGGATGGCTTAATTTATTATCAAAGGTCTTCATGGCTTATAAATTAAAGTTTTCTTGAGTAAAGACTTTTAGAATATGGGTATTATCTCTATATTCTGTGCCAAACATGTTCTATTTTTGGGGTGTGATAGATTCATTGTCTTTGTAGGCTATGCTCCTTTCCTAGGCCAAGTCTTAGCTAGAATTTTCATGATAACGTTAGTAGATCTTATAATTAATATAATGAAAAAATCAAACCATGCTGGTCAGGTTCAATTGGAAAAATGATGAACTGGCCGGTCATTAATTGACTTCATTGGAGAGAAGAATATGAAAACACCTTTACTATTTTTCATTCTTTGTTTCAGCTTACGCAACTTGTTGATATGTAAGATTTTCGGGGTGTTTGCAGATAGCGGTGTATAAAGAGAAAAAGCTAATCTAACTTGTTTTATTTCGTCGCTAATTATCATGTCTCATGACCAAAATTAATGAAAATTTTGTCATTATTTCTCATCAAATTGTCCTGCTAAATTATATTTTTCTAATGGTTTATGAATTAAAAAATAAGACAGAAACCGTGTACTTGATTGTATATAATGAGATGAGAAACATGGTCCTCTCAATTCAGAAGTTTAGTATGTCATATCGTGTTAATTCTATGTTGATGTTGTGTACATAATTTCGTTAATTCTATTATTGAGTTCAAAAAATTATGATAAGTTCAACATTGTAAAAGCAAAAAGCCAAAAAAACAAAAACAAAAAGAAAGAAAGAAATTGGAAAGAGCTTCTTCTTCTTCTTGTTTTTTTTTTTTTTGGGGCAAGAGACCAATGACACTCACTCACTCACTTATATTTACACTCCTTCCCTGTATTACTGGAGGAGTATTAGTGGCATCAAGCTAGCCAATGGTTCTTGGCAATTGGGAGGAGCTTATGGTTAGACAAATGTGGGAGGAGTCAATGATTTTGATGCTAACAAAAACTTCCAAAACATTCACATTACAACTAACAAATATAATACTAATACAACCTTCTTGGTAATTCTATATTTAGACGTTAACTTTCAGCACTTCATTCCCACATCAAAAAAAAAAAAAAAACATTTACAGCATTAATTGATTTATTGTGGTACTTGATTTTAAATTTTTTGTCTTTGGCTTATTTTTATACAACCTGTCATAATTTTAACAAGTAAGCAAAATAAATAATAAAGTTTATATACAAATGAGCAACCATTAAGTTTTTATGGAATCATGCATATTTAATAATATATATATATATATATATATACTCCTTCCATTAAAAAATGTAAGACATTTTTAATTGAATATCACCTCTCAATAAAGTAGTTACCTACATTCAAATTAACCTTATTTTTTCATATTTATCCATATTAAACACTCTATAATAAATATAAAATTATTATCAATAAGGGCACTTTTGAAAAAAATAATAATAATTACATCTCAAAAGACTAAAAATATTTTATATTTTTTAATATCCAACTCCTCAAAATATACCTTATATTTTTTAACAGAGAGAGTATATATTAACATACGTTACATATGGATGAAAATGTAGCGACTGTAAATAAAAAAAAATAGGAACTTATATCAAAATAGGCTAAAAGTACAAGGACGGATAGTTCTATTTTTTTAATAGTATTATGCTCCAATTCCTATCAAATTTCATAGTGACAACTAGCAATGACGAGAAGGGTAAATGAGAATTGTAGGGGATGTAAAGGAAATACTCAGAATAATTGTTTTGTTCATTGTGACGAAACTTTACATTAGAGGGTGGCAGTTGTAGTTATAACTTATCTCCTCTTGTTCTTAATATAAGATAAATCAAAGCTTGAATTTTTTTTGTTTTAAATGAAAAATTAAATTAGAGTAATTAATATTTTTTAATTTTATCCCTTATTTATTTATGAAAAAACATAATAATTGATCCTTATAATTTTATTGAATTTTATTTTTAGTCCCTATAAATTTTTCAGCATTCTCCATCCTCTATAATTTAACATCATTAGGGACCTAAAGAACAAACATTGTCCAATTTCATTAACACTTTAATGTTGGAATAGTCGAACCATCAACCATTGAAGAAAGCCATTTGGTTCAACCATTTAACTCATTCTAATGGTTGGCCCACTTGAACACGGCAGGTTTTAAAAACTCAAAATTAAATCTAAAATGGTTGGACTATTTTGAATTTTTTTCTTCTTACTCTTATTTTAATAATAAATTTTTTTATCCAATTTAAGATATTAATGTCAACTTATATTTAGGTTATTATAATAAAATCTTGAGTGTATAATTTGTTGATTGGTATTATATCAATGAAAGTGTACGGAAAATTGAAAACTCATTTATTTTAAAAGAAAAAATAAGGTAAATAAAAAGATATACATGTGAAAAAAAATGAAAAAATTAAATTTAATATGTTAAAGCTGAACAACTCTAAATTGAGAATGATATTATCACTATTTTTAATGTTTTATTTATACATATGCATATAAATATAATTTTTTTATTTAATTATTATGCCACTGGTCTAACCATTAGTCTAACCATTAGTCTAACCAGTTAAATAATGAGAGCTATGACCCACTGATTTTTTGGGTTCATTGTCTAGTCCACTATTTTCTTATCCTTCTATTATGGGCAATTTTGACACGGTTGGTTACTAAATGTGAGTAAAACTGACAAAACAGGTTGAGATCATTTAATCATATTTAAGTGAAGGGTTGGGCTTGCATTTTAGGTCTCACAATGCTTAATTGGACCTTAATGAGCTAAAAAATAAACAGGCTAGCCCCTTACTGAGAGCTGGCCTATTTAAGCTCATTTATATTTTTTATATAAAAATTATTGGTATTGAATAAATGAGGAGGAAGAGGATTCAAATATAAAAAAATTAAAAAATAAAATCCTAGCCTAATTTTTTAAAAAAAGAGAGAGAAAATCTTGATATTTTGCTACTGAAAAGCCAACTTATAGCAAAGTATAACCAAATATTATTAATATTAAAAATAATAATGGTAAAGATCATCACAATGATGCTTTTGATATTCTCGGATTATTGTTTTATTAATATTTAGAGAAGACTTGATTAGTTTGTTTAGATTTATTTGATTTGATTTTGGGAATTCGAACAAGGATTGTCTTTTAATAGATTGATATTTAATATTTTTAGTCTAATTTATTTATTTTCATATATTTAATTTAAAAATTCAAAAAAAAATTTAAAGGAATCGAGTATTAAAATAATAATTAGTGTCATGCTTGGTGATTATATGAATATAACTATAAATTATTAATTAAATTTTAATTACTATTATTCTTGTTATAAATATAATTAATTAATGTACTACAAATCTATAATCATAATCATCATCATCTAAGTTGACATAAATAAATTTAAACAAATATTAATCAATATAAATTAGATAAAAATTACTACAACTATGATTATAAGTTTAATTAAGTGAAGATATGATAATTATTATCTTACTGATGTTTATAAATTAAATAAAAATTCTATAATTAATTCTAGTTGAAATTAAAACTAATATCATGATTAATATGTAAAAATAATTTATAAATTAAAATAATACTGATTATTAAATTCAGTATAAATTTCTATATTTATAATTAATTTTGATTTAGTTACCTTAATTATTTTAATTAATTATGCCAATTTATAATATCATACAATATAACAATAAAATATATTCATTTGATTGATTATAATATATTAAAGCTAATTAACTAATTTATATGAATTTATTAATGTGATTAATTTTAATTGATATCATATCTAATTAATTAATTTCAAATTGTATTTATTAATATTATAATTAAATTTGCACTCAGTCTTTCCAGAATCCTTCTAAATATCACAATATTTTTTTTCCCCTCCAGATTTGATTTGAAGATCTTCATTGTCTGCCACTTTAATCTAAGCCTCTTCGGTTTTCGAAACAGAGCTCCAAAACTAAACAGAAAATAATCATCAGTTTCACTGCGTTATTTTAAGCACCTTAGCCGCTTATAACTTGCAAGTTCCAACTACTTCCCAATCTCCGAGAACTCTTCTCAGATTTAGTCTCCCTAAACGTCACTGCCTTGAAAGAGAAGAGGATGGGCGATAAGTTGCACCAGAAACTAGCAATCGGAGTCGATCTCGGAACCACATACTCGTGTGTTGCAGTATGGCAACATGGTCGAGCAGAGATCATTGTGAACGATCAAGGCAACAGAACGACGCCGTCGTATGTCGCCTTCACTGATACTCAAAGAATGGTCGGGGACGCTGCAAAGAACCTGGCTGCACATAACCCAACTAACACTATCTTTGGTAATTCTCCTTTAAATTTTTTCTGTTTGGTCAATTTTGTTTTGGTTTTCTCTCTTTCGTATAATTTATTCACTTCTAGTTTAAGTGATAGGATTGTTTTCTTTTGTGGATGATGTTGTACGGTACATATTTTTAACTTCCTTTATCTTTTTTTTTTTATATTTCGGTTAGAAAACGGGGGCAATGCTAGTTTTTTTTATTGACAATATTAATATTTTGCACAGATGCCAAGAGGTTAATTGGTCGGAGGTTCAGTGATACCCATGTTCAGAGTGATATAAACCTTTGGCCGTTTAAGGTCATTTGCGGTGAAAATGATAGGCCCAAAATTGCTGTGAACTTAAAATCACAAGAAAGGCAATTTTTGCCAGAAGAAATCCCATCCATGGCATTAGCAAAGATGCTTGAGATTGCAGAGAAATATCTTGGCTCAACGGTTAAAGATGCAGTTGTCACTGTGCCTGCATATTTCAATGATTCTCAACGCCAAGCAACCAAAGATGCCGGCACAATTGCTGGCCTTAACATAATGCAAATAATCAATGAGCCCACTGCCGCAGCAATTGCATACGGTCTGGACAAGAAAGATAGGTATGACTATGAGAGAAACTGTCACGTCCCAAAATTAGATGTCACCGACACAGTATATATACACAAGCACATATTCCTTAAGCCTTAATCTAGAAAATTTTAATTTAAAATCTTAATTCATTTAAAATAAGGTTGGGAATTGTAATAGCATTTCCCATATAAACAAAAGGTTTCTAAAATTTTTGTAAAAATTTTAGCAAAACTTCCTCTATAAATGAGACCTCCTGAAATTTCTACAACAACCATTTATATGCAAATCAATAGTATGGAGCACTGTCCCTCCACAACAGACAATCGATATAAATTTACAGATCAACATCCTACCTATGGTTAATGTGGAGCACTTAAAATATAATCTCAAAATAGAACATATAATTGAATATTTACATCAAAAGAAAAGGCACCTTTTAAAAAAAAAATAAGTAGTCACCCAGCATAGTGGTAAGCCTCTCAATGATTGGTAGGAGGTTCAGCATCAACTAATGAATCTGAGATCAAAATATTTTTTCAATGAATAACGTTCCAACAATAAATAACTGAACATGAAAAAAAAAATAAAGTTAAAATAATTATGCAATTTAAAGAGACAACGATCTTCATAACAATTTAGTAGATTTTTGAAATAAAAGAATTCTATAAAATTTTAAATAAAAATCTCGAACCATTAAAATATCGTATCAAATAATATTATCACTTGATTGCAAGAAAACAATAAAATAAATAAATAATTATAAATAATTTATTGTTTAAAACCAATGGCATGTAAAATTTCCAAACAATCAAATTCATATAATAGAAAATTATCAGAACAATAAACAAACGTGGACACACAGTCCACGAAAGTAAATAACCAAACGCGGCTTATGCCACGAAAACAAATGTGGACACACAATCCACGAGGGTAAGTAACCAAACGCGACCGAAGCCAAGAAACAAACGTGGACACACAATCCACGAGAGTAATGATAACCAAATGCGGCTCAAAGCCATGAAATCAAACGTGAGTACAATGCTTACGAGTAACCATCCCTCCATTCCACGTGCGTTGGTCATCGCACGGGGCTAGCACCTCCTATAAACACCCTGTTAGCTAGGTGTACCATGGCGTGCCAAGGGCTAACGGAACTGCCGTTAGCAACTAGTATTCTGTATAAAGTCCCTTTTTTTAAAACCATTTTCAAACATGCGAGAAAATCATCACTTTCAAGATACAGTTCTCATTCTCAAAATCAAACTCGCATGAATACTTTTAAGCATTAAAACTTGCCAGAATAAAATTTCATATTCAATGTTCATGCTTGCATTTATTGAATAATAATAAAAAAATTTCAAAGTCAAACTCGCATGAATCATTTTTCATAACAATTCAATAATTTTCAAAATAAAAATTTCATAATTAGAATCCAAACTTGTATTTACTGATAAATTAAAATTAGCAAATCTAGTAGAAATAACTTCACAAAAATAAAGTACTTTAATCAACAAAATATCCAAATATTACATTGTTGCTGTAAAAAGGATTTATAAAAAAAATGTAATATTTCAGTAAAAGAAATATTATTAGAATATCAGTTGGGACGCTATCCACTTACCTGTAAAGTTTCCGAATATATAACTTACTACTAACTGGTCCCTTTTGCCACAATGATTGCTCTTTAATCCTAATACCAAGTTAATACCATAGTTAGTTTCTTCCATAGATTTTATTTTATTTATTATTTATTATTTATTTATTTTTTTTTTTAACACTACCAATTCAAAATGATTGACGACGATGATGTAGACATTCTTAAATTCAACCTTTCTCAACACTTATAGATATTTCAAAGACTAATATTTAAATAGCAAATTGGTCCTTGGATTACCACGTAAAGAAACATTCTTTCAAAACATCTCTATCTCTAATTCTAACTTTCTTTATGGAGAATAGCTGCCTCCTATAATAATTTTAATTATCAATAATAAAATCATCATATATCTTCCACCATCCAATAAGATTCTTCCTTTCAAGCATTTTATCGAATATCTTATTATATTTATCAAATTTTAAACAAATACCAAGTCTCTTCTTCTTCACTATCCTTTCCAAAATTTCTCAATATTGATATGTGAACTAATCAAACTTCCATCATCTATTTAAGGAGATTTTCCTCCAATTATTATCTAATTAATAATAAAATAATTATCACATATATCTTGTCATCATAAGCCTAATTCTCCTAATAAGCACCTTATCAAATACTTCACAGGCATAATCTTTAATCCATTATTCCCTCCTACTTTCTCTTTTAATTTCATCTTTCAAAAATTTCACAAAATTAATATTGATTTCAATTCAGCTCAAAAGATCAAGTCAATCATCATTATTTAAATTTAATAATGCTTCCCAGCTTTAATTCCTTTCCACTAACCAATCTGATCCTAAAGGACACCGATTTTCTCTTCCTCTTACAGTAACTACAGCAATTTAAGTGGGGCACCTACCTCAAATGAACTCCTTAACCTTTAATTTCAACTTGAAAATGCATCTTTATTTTCTCCACTCCTAAGCTGCAACTAAAACAGAGGGAAGAAGAAAAATTTTCAAACCTCCCTCTTACCATCACGTGCACACAGCAGAAAAGAAAGGAGAAGAAGTAAGATCCAACCACACTCACATGATCAACACTGCTGCAGAAGAACAAAGAATGAAGTGGAAGATCAAAACTCCAACGTGCACACCCAGACCAACACGTGGAATCGCAGAACAGGGGAGGAGAGAATTTACAGCAGCACAAACGAACAAGAGAAGCAGAAATTCTGCAGCGAGAGACAGTGGAAGGAAGAAGGGGATGATGCTGCGAGCAGGGGTGGAAGAAACATACTCGGACTTCCAACAACAGCTCGGATCTTCACATGCTTGCCACCCTCCGTCAGACAGAATGGAGAAGGAAAAAGAAGGGTCCGACAGTGAGAAACAGAGGAAAAGGAAGAAGCTATGAACTAGGACAGCAACGACACGTTCGCACGCGCAGCGGCTAAGTTGAAGACGAAGGAGGAGGAAAGAGACGGAGATGGCATGTGTTTTCTGGTTCAGCTCCTCTCTGCCCCGCTCTCTCGCGATAGTTCTAGAAAAAAATCCAAGGGAGAATGAACAAGCCGTGCTCTCCTGTCTCTCTATCTTCCATTTATTTATTTTAACAGAATGGCATTTTTGTAATTCTGCCTTGACCCAAAGCTACAAGATGAAAATGACACTCTTGGCCTCATGAAAATTGGAATTTAACAAGGTACTGAAAACCGGACCGGTCATTGAACCGGCCAAACTCAGGGGTCAGGGGTCATGGGTTCAACCGGAGGTCAAACCGGAGTCAGACCGGTCATAATAAAATAATATAATTTAAATAAAAAATGTATTAATTCTCAATACGTTCATACATATCTAAGTCTTAATATCTCATATAACATATAACAATAATTCTAACAATAATAAAGTATAACAACATTTCTATATTTTTTAAAAATAAGGTTAACTAAATGATAAAAAAATTTCAATGAGTTAAAATAATAGAAATAAAAATTTATTTTAAAATAAAAGATAATAAATAAAAGTGATATATTTTAAAAATTATTTAATTAAATAATTCAAATTAAAAAATAATATAATATAATATATATTTATACTTTTTGATTTCTTTTTGCTTCTTTCGTCCCCTCATCTGACATAAGTATGATTTTTTTTACCCTATAACTCCTATTGACCTATTATTAATCATTATCATGTCAAAAATAAATATACATTTTAGTTAATCATTATCAATTTTTTTTAAAATTTCAACCCGCCCAACCCGCCTGAACCGAGGGGTTGGGCGGGTTAATTCGGGTTAATCCCGGGTCACCCGGGTTAACTTAAATAACAATAAAAAGAAAAACCAGACCGGACACATGGCCGGGTCACCGGTTCACCAGCCGGTCCGGTCCGGTTTTAAAAACAATGGAATTTAATACCTATTAGTTATGTAATTTGCATAAAGTCCACTAGACCACAATTCCCCCTTGACCTATTTTTACTTGAAAAATAATAAAAATACACTTTAAACACTTTATGATAATTTAATTAATTTAATTTAATTATTATTATTTTATTTTATTATTATTATTAATTAATTTTTTTTTTGTCATTACAGAAACATTTTTGTGTTTGATCTTGGCGGGGGTACCTTTGATGTCTCTCTTGTTGCAATAAACAAGGGTGATTTCCAAGTTAAAGCAGTTGGCGATGACACGCACCTTGGGGGAGAGGACATTGACAATAGAATGGTCAATTACTTTGTGGAAGAGTTGAAGAAGAAGCATAAGAAGGACATTAGTGGAAATCCAAAGGCCCTTAGGAGGTTGAGAACTTCTTGTGAGAAGGCAAAAAGAGTACTCTCATCCACATCCGTTGTTGATACAATCGTTGCTGTTGATGCTTTGCATGAAGGCGATGACTTTTATTCAACTATCACTCGAGCTATGTTTGAGGAATTGAACAAAGACCTCTTTGCAAAATGTTTAAAAATTACTGAGAAGTGTCTTTCGGATGCTAACATGGACAAGAGGTGTATTGATGAGGTTGTCCTGGTTGGTGGGTCTACAAGAATTCCTAAAATTCAACAGCTATTGCAGAACTTCTTTAATGGGAAGGATCTATGCAGAAGCATTAACCCCGATGAGGCTGTCGCTTATGGTGCTGCTGTTCAAGCTGCTATCTTAAGTGGACGAGGAAATGATGATTTACAAGGCATTGTCTTGAGAGATGTCACCCCATTGTCCCTGGGGTTTGAGGTATACGGTGGTCCCATGAAGGTAGTGATTCCAAGGAACACTAGTATGCCTACAACGAAGTGGGTTGATAATTTGACTACTGTGCGTGACAACCAAGCAACAATCCCTTTAAATGTTTTTCAGGGTGAGAGATCAATGGTAAAGGATAACAATTTTCTGGATACGTTTTACCTCACTATTCCCCCAGAACCAAAGGGTGTTCCTAAGCTCAGAATTTGTTTTTCTATTGATGTGAATGGTATCTTAAATGTCTCGGCTGAGGAAACTAAATCAGGGAGCAAGAATCAGATGACAATAATTAAAGGAAAAGAAAGACTATCAAAGGAAGACATTGAAAGGATGGTTCAAGAAGCGGAGAAATACAAGGCCGATGACGAGAGGTGCAAGAAGAAAGCTGAAGCTAAGAATGCTTTGGAGGACTGTATATACAATGTCAAGAGTGCTGTAAAGAATGAGATGAGTGACTCAGAAATTTCCCCAACATACAAGAAGATGATTGAGGATGCGATTGAAATGGTGGCCTTGAAGCTGGTCCAAGTCCAGGAGCTTGCTGAAGTTGACGTATGTGAGGGCGAGAAGAGAAAGCTTGAGAGCATTTATAATGACATTATTTTGAGGCAAAGTGAAGATAATGCTGGCAATGTTCATCCTTCTGCAGACCGTACTGATACTGTTTCAGGTAATAAGAAACAAAAAAATCTTGTTAAGGAAGAGCCAAATTAAAGACATGTATGACAGGTGCAGCTGTTTCTATTTTAATGGTATAGTGAGTTGGCTTTTGCTTCTGAGCCAATGTCTTCCGATTGTTAAGGATTTGACATGACGTGGGTTAGTTAGTCTCCATTTTCTGATTTTCTTAATAAATATATTGTTTTGATATTCTGTTGATTACAGTTTAGAATGTTGTAAATGCTTTTGCAAGGTTTTGCATGGGCTTGACTTGATATATATCTAGTGGGGTATGTAGTTTTGAAGAGCATGAAGCTTGAAAAGTAATGATAATAGGATTTGCTACATTCCTTTCATATATATGCGACTATTTGGATATGATTGTTATAATCCTAACGCATGCCTTTTTTATCTATAAAACTTCGTCTTATATATATTGTACAAGAGTTTGATATAGGGCGATTCACAGCAAAATTTTAATCATATATAAACACTACATGCTTTGAAGACTTCACATCAACATTAATTTATGTCGCATTATTTTATATTTTTTAACATCTCGATAAGCAACGTAATGTGACAACATGAATGGCATTCTTCTGGGGATACTAGTAGGTTGACTTCTCTTTTTGAGCGATTGTCATCAGATTGTTAATTAATCTTAAATATGTGCGTGCGTGCGTGTGTACTTTGATGTTAGAAAGTAAATTTGGTATTGGTCTTAAACGGTCAAGTCTTGATTCAGTATCTTTGAAGGGCCATGCTCCATTCATAAGCCCATTGTCTAGATCTAGAAATTTGTTTGAGTGTAGAGTTGATCTTAGAAATGACAAGAGAAAACTCAACCATACTAGACGGTTGAGTTGGAAACTGATGAACCGATCATTGGCTTCATATGGAGACAGGAGAGAATGATCTGAAAAATAACATCTTGAAGCTTTCTTCTGATCTTCATTCTTTTTGGAAAAACAAATGATAGGATTGAGCAGAGCACAAGTAAGACGATATCAGAATCAGCCTCGTCATGTATGGCTAATTTATATATTTATAATTCCATTTTTTTTTTAACGGCTTATCATGCGGTGTAAATATTTATGTTGTGGAGGTGTTTTACCAAATCGTGGCACCGAAACTAAACTGACACTACTGTTAAATAGTATTAAAATTAATAAAAGCTAGATTTTGCAGTAAAGCACAACCTATATCATCTCTCTAAAATTTAATAAAGTAACTATTTGAATTATGATTATGAAAAGATAAATAATAAGGGGTTTATGATGAAATTAAAACTAAATTAAAATTAAATAAATAGAGAAAATTTAACTAAAAAAATTATCAAGCACAAGCAGTGCAATCAATCATAACCTAGTCACTTAAACTTAATCTTTCTCATCCACAAATTAAATTAATTTTATTTAACTTTATTTTTCTGATTTTATTATATATTTCTCAAATTATCATTCAAGAATCAAATAAGAAATTAAGTTATAGATTAATTAAAATTTCTCTTAACCCACGACCTCACAACTGTTTTATGTTAGCCACATCAAAAATAAAGCATGAGTAATCACTTAAGTCAAGCTAAATTACTTTTAAGTTACTATATCAATCGATTATAGTAAGTAAAAACCTTAGATAAAATTTATAACCCAAAAATTATACAATAAAACTACTCTAATTAGCAATAGCAATTAAAGCATAAAATTTAAAAGTAGAGAGAAGAAGAGAAAATTAAAATAAAATTAAAATAAATTCTTTCTTAAATAAAGACTCTTATTAAGACTCTTATTAAAATTTAAAATCGTAATTTATAATTAATTACACCAAAAATTTAGCTCCCCATCGAACTAAAAACAAAGTCTGATTCTTTGTTTTCTCTCCTCCTCCGCTCCTGCCGTCGCTTCTGTCTTTCTTCTTTTCTCCTGCGTCTCCCTTTCTTTCTTTCCTAATAAAAATTAATAATTTATTAAAAAGATAAAACTATCTTAAATAACCCTAATTAAAAATTATACTAAATAATTCAAAATAAATCTAAATAAAATTTTAAAGATTTAATTCTTGATTTTATCTCTAAGTATGCCTAGATTTTTCTCAACCAAAATATTATTTATCAATATTTTTTAAATTAAATTTAGAAAATCTGCACAAATAAAATTAAATTAAATAGCACCTGTGCAGAAATATTAAAGATATCATTTATATTTTAAAATTATAAATTTAGATAGTTAAAATTTTAAAACTGAATATTGGTTAATAAAATTAAATAATATCTAATTAAACTTAATTAGTCTCAAATAAATATTTAAAAATTTAAATTAAAAGAATAAAAACATATAAAATTGTTCTTTATTATTGGCCAAAAGTTTATATAAAAGTAGAGGTGAGAGTTCAAGCCAAGTTCAGAACTTTGAGCTTGAACAAATCCAAATATTTTAAGGTTAAATTTAAAAGTTTAAAATTTTTTTTATTTTAAATTTATTTAGACCACTCAAATAAGTCTAAAAACTTTCTCACCACGCCAAAAGTCACGCTTTGGCCAAATCTCTTTCATGTATCTTCATTATTCTTGGAAACTAATTGGTTTCCTAAGTGGCCTTCTGGTTATTACTCATTGATTATAATAGCTTTCCAAAAGTTTAAAAAAAAGTAATGATTACATCTTGAAAGATTAAAAATACTTTACATTTTTTAATAGAAAAAATCATATACACATATATTTTTTAAAAAATATGGCCCCCTTAGTTTCATTGCTGGTTCCGCCCCTGTATATAAATGCTCCAAAGCAAGATTATTAAGCTTGTGAGTTTAAGTAAATTCATGATAGGAATGTAAACTCGTATATCAAACTATTATGTATTAAAAATTGCTATTAAAATATAATTATAATTTAATTTAAATGTATTAAAAATATAAATCATTGAAATTAAATACATTTACATTGATAAATTATCACATACAAGACATAAACATTTTAAGATAGGGAAACTTATTTTTGATATTTTTGTTTTCTTTTTTATTAATATTAGTTTTTACATTTTAAGTTTTTTTTTTGAACCAGGTATTATAACTTTTATGAGCTAAATTCTTCATATTATACACTTAACTTGCTCAACTCAAAAGAAAAAAAATCGATGAGTTTAACAAATTTAATCAAACTTACATTTAATCCGAGTTTATAAATTAGTTGATGCGATTTTGTAAGTTAGAAACGTAAAAACAGTAAACTCGAAGGTAAACTTATGAGTTTAACCTAATTTATATCTAGTCCAAGTTTATGAGTAAATTGACATGAATTTATAAGCTCAAAATGTAAAAATGTTAAGCTCGTAAAGTCAACTCAAAAGTTTGATAACTATATTCCAAAATTCAGAGAAAGAAATAAAAGGAGAATAATAGAGAAAAAAAGAAAAATAATTATAATTTATAGACTTTCGTAGTTTCGTTCCTTTGTCTTCACATGCCCCTTTAAATTTTAAGAAAAAGTTTGACAAAAAAAGAAAAATCTACATGATCCTTATACCGATGAAGCTGCAATTTATTATAGACAATAAGTATTTACATTAATTAAATAATTAATTTACATCTATTTTATTAGTAATTCACAAGTATAACTTTAACTTTTTATAACTGTGATTTCACATATCTAATGGTTAAATTGATCATTAATTCTTAAATATATAAAGTTATAATTATAAAAAATTAAAGTTATAGTTATAAATTGTTAATAAAGTAGTTGTAAATTATGACTGATGTAATGTGTGTGTGTGTGTGTGTGTGTGTATAATTTTAATAGGGACATTATTATCTTTTTATCTTAATTTTAAATTACACTCATGTTTCAAGGAATTTAGTTATAGTTTTTAAATTTTACGAGATTTATTTATAAATAAATTAGTTCTATAAGACTTATATGTAATTTTTTCTAAATCTAATCTTAACCATATCATGATTATGATATTTTATAATCAAATCTTCTCATAAATTTATTTTCATTGAATTGGCTTATAAATTTATTATTAGATAAATAAAGATCCTAGTTTTTATAAATAGATTAAATTATATTTATTAGTTGAAAATTTAAGAAACTCAATTATAAATGATAAGCCTTAAATTTTATAAAAATCAATTATAAATTTTAAGCAAATCAACAAAAAATACAAGTAAGAACCCTTGTGTTTTTGGAATTTAGTAGTGTTTTAAAAATCAAATTAAACCAATCGGTTGAACCAATTGAAATGGCTTTTGGTCTGATTCGATTGAACCCTCAAAACCGACAGTAAGGAAACCAGTCAATGACTCACAAAACCGATTGAAAACCAGACCAATTCCCTTAAAAGCCGATCTGAATTAGTTTAAAAATTAATTAAAACAAAGAACAACCAAGAATAATTAATATTAATAATATATTCATCAACAATATATCATTTTATCAAGCATTTATTAATATTATTTTGAAAAATATAAATATTTACATATATTTGTTATTTAATTATGATACATAAATTAAAAATATATTAATTTAATATCAACCGTTTGACTTCACAGTTGAAATAATGAACTGTGAACCAGTAGCTAATTCGGTGCAATAATTGGTCCAATTTTTAAAACTTTGAAATTTAGTATATATAATAGTAATTAATGTTTTTGTGCAGTTTATAATTGTCATTTCCCCAAATTATTATTTACAATTTTACTTATATTATATTAAAATTAATTTTTTTTTTTTGGCCCGTATTTGGTCAAAACCCTTGAAACCCGATACTTTCCCTCTTACAGAAATTTCCCTCCCCTTTCTTCATTCCCGCCAATCGCCGGCAGCTTTTAGATTCTGGGTCTCCATCATCACTTCACTTTCTCCTCCTTCATTGTTCGTCGTGCTGCGTTGTTCTCCTTTCGTCTACTCTCTTCTTCGTTCTGAGCTTCGGGCGTTGCTTGTAGGATTATTTGCTACTCTGATCTATTTTTGCCATTTCATTCGGGTTCTTCGGCTCTTTGTATTGTCGATAGCTATGTCATCTTCTGTTTTATTTATGTTTTTGCTTTGATTGGTTGTATTGCTCTGTGATTATTCTGATATCCCCTTTTCTTTTTGAAGTTCCCGTAAGCATTTTTTAGTAGCTTTCTCCGTGGGTCCACTTGTGCTTCTTTTGGTGGGTAGGTTTTTGTTCTTCATAATAATATACAAATATGGATAGCATGTTACATATTGTTTTTTATTCGTCATAATATACCAAACTTGTGCCTTTCCTTTCTTCTCTGCATGTATAGTGTCTAATATCTAGCAAGCCAGATGCATGATTTCTGTCTTGAGTTATAGGAGGCCATATGGCAATACCAACAATACAGTATGTTTTTGTAAATAGCACTGTGTAAATGTATGGTGGTGGTCCCTTACTGTCATATTTAAACATGTCTTGACCCCACTACTCTGCATTTGCGATTAACTCCTTCCCCATTCCCATGCATTTTTACATATTCATTTTATTCTTTCCTCTTCTGAACAAGAAACTCTTTGCGGCCCATATACCATGTCATGAGCATTATTAATAAAATTCTATGATTGGGGGTCTAGTGTCTCAATTATTTCCTTTTTGACTAATTAGTTGTTCTTCATCGCCACTTTTCTCTCACAATGGTAAGTTATAATTTCTTGTTGGGAACCATAATAATATATTATTTATAGCACATCAAGCGATATTATTCCTATAGAACATTATTAAGAAGATAACCAAGTGGGCATCTAGCGATATGTATGAGTCCTTAGAAATTGAGCATATTTATATGACTAGTGGATTAGTCTATGCCTTGCTTTCAAGGATGCTTCTTGTGTCAGCAATTCCAATTCCTGTTCCTTTTCCTCGTGTCAGAAATTGAGGATATTTGACTTGTGGATTACTCAATACAGAGATTCCATTCAAATTTTACGTCATATCAAATATACTTTTAAACTAGATTCCAGTTGCTTTTCTTGTTCCAATTCTAATTCCTTTTCTCGTTCCATTTCGTTCAAAATATTTCGATGAACCAAACAGGGCCTTATTTCTGTCTAGGTGTGCAGCGGAATAATACATGAAGGGTAAGTGACGAGTGTGTTTGATCATTTAAAAACTATCAAAAGCTTGGTGTAGTTAATATCCCAAAAAAAAAAAAAGGCTTGGTGTAGTTCAATGTTGATAAATAATGGTTGAAGGAAAATCGATAATGGAGTTAGGATGGGTTAAGTCTGAGTGACATACAAGCCTTTTATTCTACACAGCACATTTTTTAAGCATGCAAATAAAATCATGGGATGGTTGCAACTCACTCATACAAGTGTATACAAGTTTGTCAAATAATCTAATTTGAAATCTTATTTGATTAAAGGAATTAATATTCATATTTGACTTTGAATAATAACTTTAACCTCGATTTCCCACTTAGTGATGAGCTGCAATATCTTTCTTTTCAATGTCAAAGCACACTGTCATTTCCTTAAAGACATGACAAAACCTTTAAGTAGCTTTCTTTTTCTTTGTTTTTGTTTTTGTATATTAGCAGTTTTAAGAGGAATTTAAATATAATAGGACCATAGAAAATCTATTTTAAAAATTTAAAAATTGAACTATGAAAAAATAGGATATATAAACATATAGAAAGTATCACCATCAAATTTGAGTTAATTATCCTGCTCATGGGGCATAACTGATAATAATTTTTGGTTCTTAAAAAGTTGAAAATGGTGTTTGACTGAACTTCGCAGCAATCTACTTTGGTTCTCGTTATTTGGAAGGATTAGTTCAAGTTATCTGATATTTGGAGGGTTTGGTTCAATATATATCAAGCATTCTTTTCATCACTTGCGATTAATTTTAGTAATCTTTAATCTTTTTCTTATTTTTATTTTGTAAAACAAATCTTTATTATAATATTATTGATCAGCAATCGCATAGTTCATTTCACCTCATTGCACTCTACCTAAACACGATGCATTTTGATGTGTGAATTTTTGGTAGATGATTTTCCAAAAATAATGCATGCATATGGTAGAAACTGGGTTTAAAAACTTTCAAGTTCTAGGACTCTAATACTTACCTTACGTAAAAGATCTGAGTTTTGTTGCATTTTAATGTTCTAAATCTTTCTGCTAATGAAGGAATGTAATTTTGGAAACTTTTTGCTGCATTACACCTGATGCATATATATAACGGTCTCTGCATTGCTTGTTTACTTTAGCATGTCTCATATATGTGTAGATCTGATTATTATATCTTTAAAACCTGTTGGCCATTTTGACTCTGTTGCGTGTTCAATAAGTCTAAAGCATTGGTGTTTGATCAATATTAGTAAGTGTTTATTACATTTTTTATCCCAAAGTTTAGGTGAAAAATAAATTGCCTGACACCTTTTATAACTTGTCTTCTGGATATGGACCATTGAGGCTATTGACTTTTTGGATGCTAATGGTTGACAAAACTACAAACACACATGCAACATGTTTATCTAATTTATTTAGATTAAATATTAATTATTAATTAATTATTATAAATTAAGGTGACTTGGCAAACATATGAACTTTATTATTAGACCTTTGAGAGTGTCTGTAACCTCTTGAGCATTATCCATTGACAATTATATTTAAAAATCATTTTATTTATTTACAAATTTTATAATTATGAATAATCATATATTAATATCATGCTTGATGATTATATGAATATCACTATAAGTGATTTATTAAATTAAATTAAATTGAAATTACTATTATTGTAGTTATAAATATAATTAATTAATTAATGTACCATCATCGTCAACATCATCATCATTATATAAGTTGACATAAACAATTTTAAACAAACATTGACCAATATAAATTAAATAAAAATTACTATAACAGTGATAAGTTTAATTAACTAAAGATATCATAGTTATTATCTTACCGTTATTTATAAATAATAACTTATATAGTTAACTCTAGTTAAGTCCAATTACAATTAATATCGTGATTAATATGTAAAGATCATTTATAAATTAAAATAATATTGATGATTATTAAATTCAGCACTATAAATTACTATATTTATAATTAATTTTGATTATAATATTTTATGTAATAATGTATTAAAATGATAATAATTTATTAATTATGCTAATTTATAATATCATTTAATATAATAATATAATATATTCATTTGATTGATTATAATATATTGAAGCTAATTAACTAATTTAAGATTGCAATAATGTTAAGATTAAAGTCAATATCATAATTTATACTTCATTCAAAAATGTAAGGCATTTTTTGAAGGATTAAATATTAAAAAATATAAAATATTTTTAATCTTTTAAAGTATAATAATTACTTTTTTTTAAATGTTCTTATTGAATAGATCACTTTATATTTTTTTAGTGTGAAACATTTCATTAAATAAGAATAAATATAAAAAAATAGAATTAGTTAAAAAATAAATAATTATTTTATTTTTAGTAAAATTTAATTAAAAATATTTTATATTTTTTAAGGGATGAATGGTACTTCGAATAGTTTTCTTGTATTTTCAATTTTTTTTTTTTATTTTATTGATTGCCGCCGCTTTGATTCCCACGTCTCCGTCTCCCCCGCTTTAATCTCAGCCACTTCGATTTTCGAAACAGCTTCAAAACTGAACAGACAACTTACCATGATGGTCAGTTTCGCTGCGTTGTTACTATAAGCATCTTAGCCACTTATAACTTGCAAGTTCCAACTACTTCCCAATCTCCAAGAACTCTTCTCAGATTTAGTCTCCCTAAACTCGACTGCCTTGAAAGAGAAGAGGATGGGCGATAAGTTGCACCAGAAACTAGCCATCGGAATCGATCTGGGAACTACATACTCATGTGTTGCAGTATGGCAACATGGTCGAGCAGAGATAATTGTGAACGATCAAGGCAACAGAACGACGCCGTCCTATGTTGCTTTCACTGATACTCAAAGAATGGTCGGTGATGCTGCAAAAAACCAGGCTGCACATAACCCTACTAACACTATCTTTGGAAATCTCCTTAATTTTTTTCTGTTTGATGATGTTTTTCATTTTTTTTTTTTTTTGCAAGTTCGTTTTGGCTCTCTCTTACATATAATTTATTCACTTCTAGTTCAACTGACAGGATCGTTTTCTTTTATGGATGATGGTGTGCAGTACATATATTTAACTTACTTTATGTACTTCCTTATAGAAAATGGGGCCAATACTATGTATTTTTATTTACATTATTAATTATTAATACTTTGCGCATTTCGCACAGATGCCAAGAGGTTAATTGGTCGGAGGTTCAGTGATACCCATGTTCAGAGTGATATAAACCTTTGGCCGTTTAAGGTCATTTGCGGTGAAAATGATAGGCCCAAAATTGCTGTGAACTTAAAATCACAAGAAAGGCAATTTTTGCCAGAAGAAATCCCATCCATGGTATTAGCAAAGATGCTTGAGATTGCAGAGAAATATCTTGGCTCAACGGTTAAAGATGCAGTTGTCACTGTGCCTGCATATTTCAATGATTCTCAACGCCAAGCAACCAAAGATGCCGGCACAATTGCTGGCCTTAATGTAATGCAAATAATCAATGAGCCCACTGCCGCAGCAATTGCATATGGTCTAGACAAGAAAGATAGTTATGACTACGAGAGAAACATTTTTGTGTTTGATCTTGGCGGTGGTACCTTCGATGTCTCTCTTGTTGCAATAAACAAGGGTGATTTCAAAGTTAAAGCAGTTGACGGTGACACTCACCTTGGGGGAGAGGACATTGACAATAGAATGGTCAATTACTTTGTGGAAGAGTTGAAGAAGCAGCATAAGAAGGACATTAGTGATAGTCCAAAAGCCCTTAGGAGGTTGAGAACTTCATGTGAGGGGGCAAAAAGAGTACTCTCATCCACATCTGTTGTTGATACAATCGTTGAAGTTGATGCTTTATATGAGGGCATTGATTTTTATTCAACAATCACTCGTGCCAGGTTTGAGGAATTGAACAAAGACCTCTTCGCAAAATGTTTGGAAATTGCAGAGAAGTGTCTTTCGGATGCTAAAATGGACAAGAGGTGTATTGATGAGGTTGTCCTGGTTGGTGGATCTACAAGAATCC